CAGATTGTTACGTTACTTAGGGCCACAGAAACGTTACTTAGGGACACAGAAATTGTTACTTAGGGACACAGAATTGTTACTTAGGGCCACAGAATTGTTACTTAGGGACACAGAATTGTTACTTAGGGCCACAGAATTGTTACTTAGGGACACAGAATTGTTACTTAGGGACACAGAATTGTTACTTAGGGACAGACACAGAATTGTTACTGAGGGACACAGAATTGTTACTCAGGGACACACAGAATTGTTACTGAGGGACACAGAATTGTTACTGAGGGCCACAGAACCGTTACTTAGGGCCACAGAAACGTTACTTAGGGACACAGAATTGTTACTTCAGGACAGACACAGAATTGTTACTCAGGGACAGACACAGAATTGTTACTGAGGGACACAGAATTGTTACTGAGGGACACAGAATTGTTACTCAGGGACACAGAATTGTTACTCAGGGACACAGAATTGTTACTGAGGGACACAGAATTGTTACTCAGGGACACAGAATTGTTACTCAGGGACACAGACACAGAATTGTTACTCAGAGGGACACAGAATTGTTACTGAGGGACACAGAATTGTTACTGAGGGACACAGAATTGTTACTGAGGGACACAGAATTGTTACTTAGGGACACAGAATTGTTACTAGGGGGTTACTTAGGGACACAGAATTGTTACTCAGAGGGACACAGAATTGTTACTGAGGGACACAGAATTGTTACTGAGGGACACAGAATTGTTACTCAGAGGGACACAGAATTGTTACTCAGGGACACAGAATTGTTACTCAGGGACACAGAATTGTTACTGAGGGACACAGAATTGTTACTCAGGGACACAGAATTGTTACTCAGGGACAGACACAGAATTGTTACTGAGGGACACAGAATTGTTACTGAGGGACACAGAATTGTTACTGAGGGCCACAGAACTGTTACTTAGGGCCACAGAAACGTTACTCAGGGACACAGAATTGTTACTCAGGGACAGACACAGAATTGTTACTCAGGGACACAGAATCGTTTAATTAAAGAGTATGTCAGACAACATGCAGAGGAGTGGCAGAGGAGGCAATGTTTTAGGAGCGAGCAGACGTGGCAGCAGAGGAAGGGGTCGAGGCAGCACTATTCGCAGCCAGAGGCCAGTGCTCCCGGTGTCATCCAGCGGTCGTGTCTCCACCGACAACCCTGCCGTCATCGATTGGTTGGCTCGGTCGTCTTCCTCTTCCCAGGTCACCTCTGACACCTACAGCCAACGGTCGGTGGGTACGTCAGACACAACCGTTAGTTGGCATGGCCCGGGACCAAGCCCACTGAAATCACGTGTCCTCTACCTGCCCCTGTCCTTTGGTGTTCCCTCACCAAGCGAAGTATCGCATGCTGTGGGCTCAGCCCCACTGTACAGTGAGGAAGAGCAAACAGAGGGCGGTCAGGAACGGGGGGAGACATCCGCCTCTTCAGCAGCCAGGCGAAGAAGTAGTGGCGAGGAGAGTGGCTCGGTAGCCGGTCTAGAGACAGGTCTGTCTCCTGACCCACACGCAGCCGAGGGGGCTAGTAGTGAGGCGGAGACCCTAATTGATGATGATGAGGCTGATCGCACTTGGCAGCCTCGTCGTCATCAGGCTATTGCTTCCGCATCATCAGGAGAAGAGGGTGGCAGCTTGGCAGCGAGCAAAACAGTCGGTGGGTTGCCCAGGAGGCAGCAGGGTCGCAGCAGTGTCAGTGGAGGCAAACGGCCACGGAGTACAGCACCAGCTCCACTGCAGCCTACCACCACGGCCAGTAGTGGTGCCGGTGTGCACGGAGGAAGCAGCAGTCAGCCAGTGAGGAGTATCGGGGGCAAAGTTTCCTACTCTCGGTCGGTGTGGCAATTTTTTGTCAAGCCGCCCGAGGAAGTAAACGTAGCCGTATGTCGACTATGTGGCCAGAAAGTCAAGCGTGGCCAGGGGGCCCATGTTGGGACTACAGCGTTGCGGCAGCATATGCAGCGTCGCCATTTGGTGGCCTGGGAAAACCGTGATAAAGATACGGCGGTTCTGCCCGCCCCAGCCCCCGCTCCATCACCCGCTCCGTTACTTGCTCCGTCACCCGACGTCAATCGCCCTCTATCAGCCAGTCAAGGCTCCAACACCTCTGCTGAGGGGAGTTGTCGCTCGTTGCCATCTTCCGCTCGTTCAGATGCTCCTTCTCCTGCTACTCCTCTTCACGGATTCCGTCAGCAGTCTTTCTTGGAATCCGTTTCCAAGAGACAACAGTTTGCGAGCACGCACCCGACGGTGCAAAAGCTGAACGTCCTCCTGTCCAAGTTGCTGGTGCTGCAGTCCCTCCCTTTCCAAGTGGTGGACTCAGCACCTTTCCGAGAAATGATGGCTTGTGCCGCGCCGCGGTGGAGAGTGCCAAGCCGTCATTTCTTCGCCAAAAAGGCAGTGCCAGCCCTGCATTCACATGTAGAAGAGATGGTGGGCCAGTCTTTGAGCATGTCGGTCTCTGCCAAAGTGCACGGCAGCGCCGACGTGTGGAGCTGTAACTACGGTCAGGGACAGTACATGTCATTTACGGCCCACTGGGTGAACGTGGTGCCGTCACAGCCGCACCAGCAACTTGGACAGGTCACGCCGCTTTTGCCTCCACGTTTGCACGTCCTTGGTCCACAAAAGATGTCCGCCTCTACCACCTCTTCTTCCTTCGTGTCCTCAGCCGCCCGCCCCCCCCGTGCCAAGTCCCATTACCCGACCGGCATATCACATGTGCAGGGCGCAACGGTGTCACGCTGTGCTGCACCTGGTATGCCTTGGCGAACGTAGTCACACAGGGGAGGAACTTCTCAGTGTAATGAACAGAGAAATCGACAGATGGCTGTCTCCGCGCAAACTGAAAATCGGAACCATGTTGACCGACAACGGAAAGAACATGGTGTCTGCTCTCTGCGTCAAGGAAGGTTGTGCCATGCGCCATGCATGGCTCACGTGTTCAATCTGGTTGTCAAGCGGTTCCTAAAATCCACCATCCCACTGCAAGACATCCTTAAAATGTCACGTAAACTTTGCATGCATTTCAGCCATTCCTACACCGCAAAGCACACCCTCCTTGAGCTGCAGCGGCAGAACGGAATTCCACAGCATCGCCTGATCTGCGACGTTGCAACAAGGTGGAATTCAACCCTACACATGTTAGACCGCCTTTACGAACAGCGAAAGGCCATCACCGATTTCCTGATGTTACAAGCGGATAAAGGTACTCCCCTGTGTAACTTCGATGTCAGCCATTGGCAGCTCATGCGTGACACCTGCCGCTTGCTCAGGCCCTTTGAGGAGGCCACGCTATTCGTGAGTCGGCAGGACTATGGGATGAACGACGTCATTCCTCTGTTGCACGTCCTGGAACAAATGCTGTTAACAATGGCTGGTCAGGGTGCGGTAGACGTGGCGCACAGATCTCAACGCCACATGACCCCTGTGGGGGCAGGACAGGAAGAAGAGGAGGAGGTAGAGGAGGACATTTGTGTGCTCAGGAATTATTGAGTGAAATGGGTGGTTTTTCCACTCAGCGGACAGGAGTGGAGGAGCAGGAGCATCTGGTAGAGAGGAGGAGGAGGAGACAGAGGACCCAGACGCACCGTGGCAGTATGCTGTGGAGATGGAGGCAGGGAGTCCCTCGCATTCCTTGGCACAAATGGCCCATAGCATGCTCGGTTGCTTGCGTAGCGACAGCCGAATAATAACCATCAGACAGAGGGATGACTTTTTTGGCTGTCCACCTTGTTGGACCCTCGCTACCGTTCAAAAATGGTGGCCTTTTTCACACCTGCTGAGAGGGAGGCCAAAATAACGTACTATAAAAACCCACCTATGTAGTCAGTTGGTCTCTGCCTTTGTGCGCCAACGTCCATCCTCAGACACTGTGGGCCCTGTGCGCTCGCGTTCCGCTGCCATGGCAGCAGGGGAGGGGTGGGGTGGTAGGAGCAGTGGTAGCTCCACCAGCAGCGGCTGCCTCAGTCTGCAGTCGATGATGAGTAGCTTTCTTCACCAGCGCAGTGAGGAAACTACTAACCAGCCGCAGCAGCAGCAGCAGCATCAGGTGGACCTGGAGCAGGACCTCAAACAACAGGCTTGGGCCTACTTGGACAGCACCCTGCCAACCGAGGTAGACAATCCCCTTGACTACTGGGCAACGAAACTTGACCTTTGGCCCCAACTAGCTGAATTTGCCCTTGAAAGGCTGTCATGCCCGGCCAGTAGCGTGGCATCGGAGCGCGTGTTTAGTGCGGCAGGAGGTATTGTAACTCCGCGGAGGACACGACTGTCCACCCAAAGTGTGGAGAGACTCACTTTGTGAAAATGAATCAGGCGTGGATTAGTCTGGATTTCAAACCACCAGTTCCTGACACAACTGACTACTGAATCCGCCATGAATCATGCCCCTGCCATGTGCCACTTTCAGGTCTCCTCACACACTGCTGGTGTGTTCCATTTTTTGTCATAGGGTGCTGGCAGATTATTACGGGCCTCCCATAGCTGCTGCCAGGCCCCTAATCTGCCATGGGCCCCTATACCGCCTCCTCATGCTGCTGCCAGGTCCAGAGTCTCTCATGGGTCCCTGTACGGCCTCCCATTGCTGCTGTCTCCATCGCCACACTCTGCCATGTGCCACTTTCAGGTCTCCTCACACTGCTGGTGTGTTCCAATTTTTTTTTGACATAGGGTGCTGGCAGATTACGGGCCTCCCATAGCTGCTGCCAGGCCCCTAATCTGCCATGGGCCCCTGGGCCCCCTATATACCGCCTCCTCATGCTGCTGCCAGGTCCAGAGTCTCTCATGGGTCCCTGTACGGCCTCCCATTGCTGCTGTCTCCATCGCCACACTCTGCCATGTGCCACTTTCAGGTCTCCTCACACACTGCTGGTGTGTTCCAATTTTTTGACATAGGGTGCTGGCAGATTACGGGCCTCCCATAGCTGCTGCCAGGCCCCTAATCTGCCATGGGCCCCTATACCGCCTCCTCATGCTGCTGCCAGGTCCAGAGTCTCTCATGGGTCCCTGTACGGCCTCCCATTGCTGCTGTCTCCATCGCCACACTCTGCCATGTGCCACTTTCAGGTCTCCTCACACTGCTGGTGTGTTTCCATTTTTTGTCATAGGGTGCTGGCAGATTACGGGCCTCCCATAGCTGCTGCCAGGCCCCTAATCTGCCATGGGCCCCCTGTACCGCCTCCTCATGCTGCTGCCAGGTCCACAGTCTGTCATGGGTCCCTGCCGGCCTCCCATTGCTGCTGTCTCCATCGCCACACTCTGCATGTGCCACTTTCAGGTCTCCTCTCACACTGCTGGTGTGTTCAATTTTTTGACATAGGGTGTGCTGGCAGATTACGGGCCTCCCATAGCTGCTGCTGCCAGGCCCCTAATCTAATCTGCATGGGCCCCTATACCGCCTCCTCATGCTGCTGCCAGGTCCAGAGTCTCTCATGGGTCCCTGTACGGCCTCCCATTGCTGCTGTCTCCCATCGCCACACTCTGCCATGTGCCACTTTCAGGTCTCCCTCACACTGCTGGTGTGTTCCATTTTTTGTCATAGGGTGCTGGCAGATTACGGGCCTCCCATAGCTGCTGCTGCCAGGCCCCTAATCTGCCATGGGCCCCCCTATACCGCCTCCTCATGCTGCTGCCAGGTCCAGAGTACTCATGGGTCCCTGTACGGCCTCCCATTGCTGCTCCAGGTCCACACACTCTGCCATGTGCCACTTTCAGGTCTCCTCACACTGCTGGTGTGTTGAATTTTTTGACATAGGGTGCTGGCAGATTTACGGGCCTCCCATAGCTGCTGCCAGGCCCCTAATCTGCCATGGGCCCCTATATACCGCCTCCTCATGCTGCTGCCAGGTCCAGAGTCTCTCATGGGTCCCTGTACGGCCTCCCATGCTGCTGCTGTCTCCATCGCCCACACTCTGCCATGTGCCACTTTCAGGTCTCCTCACACACTGCTGGTGTGTTCCAATTTTTTGACATAGGGTGCTGGCAGATTACGGGCCTCCCATAGCTGCTGCCAGGCCCCTAATCTGCCATGGGCCCCTATACCGCCTCCTCATGCTGCTGCTGCCAGGTCCAGAGTCTCTCATGGGTCCCTGTACGGCCTCCCATTGCTGCTGTCTCCATCGCCACACTCTGCCATGTGCCACTTTCAGGTCTCCTCACACTGCTGGTGTGTGTGAATTTTTTGACATAGGGTGCTGGCAGATACGGGCCTCCCATAGCTGCTGCCAGGCCCCTAATCTGCCATGGGCCCCTGTACCGCCTCCTCATGCATGCTGCCAGGTCCTGTCTCACACACTCATGGGTCCCTGTACGGCCTCCCATTGCTGCTGTCTCCATGCCACACACTCTGCCATGTGCCACTTTCAGGTCTCCTCACACTGCTGGGTGTGAATTTTTTGACATAGGGTGCTGGCAGATTACGGGCCTCCCATAGCTGCTGCCAGGCCCCCCTAATCTGCCATGGGCCCCTATACCGCCTCCTCATGCTGCTGCCAGGTCCAGAGTCTCTCATGGGTCCCTGTACGGCCTCCCATTGCTGCTGTCTCCATCGCCACACTCTGCCATGTGCCACTTTCAGGTCTCCTCACACACTGCTGGTGTGTTCCATTTTTTGTCATAGGGTGCTGGCAGATTACGGGCCCCCATAGCTGCTGCCAGGCCCCTAATCTGCCATGGGGTACCGCCATGCTGTAGGTCCAGAGTCTGTCATGGGTCCCTGTACGGCCTCCCATTGCTGCTGCCAGGTCCTCCATCGCCACACTCTGCCATGTGCCACTTTCAGGTCTCCTCACACTGCTGGTGTGTTCCATTTTTTGACATAGGGTGCTGGCAGATTACGGGCCTCCCATAGCTGCTGCCAGGCCCCTAATCTGCCATGGGCCCCTATACCGCCTCCTCATGCTGCTGCCAAGTCCAGAGTCTCTCATGGGTCCCTTACGGCCTCCCATTGCTGCTGTCTCCATCGCCACACTCTGCCATGTGCCACTTTCAGGTCTCCTCACACACTGCTGGTGTGTTCAATTTTTTGACATAGGGTGCTGGCAGATTACGGGCCTCCCATAGCTGCTGCCAGGCCCCTAATCTGCCATGGGCCCCTATACCGCCTCCTCATGCTGCTGCCAGGGCCAGAGTCTCCATGGGTCCCCTGTACGGCCTCCCATTGCTGTGTCTCCATCGCCACACTCTGCCATGTGCCACTTTCAGGTCTCCTCACACACTGCTGGTGTGTTCCAATTTTTTGACATAGGGTGCTGGCAGATTACGGGCCTCCCATAGCTGCTGCCAGGCCCCTAATCTGCCATGGGCCCCTATACCGCCTCCTCATGCATGCTGCTGCCAGGTCCAGAGTCTCTCATGGGTCCCTGTGTACGGCCTCCCATTGCTGCTGTCTCCATCGCCACACTCTGCCATGTGCCACTTTCAGGTCTCCTCACACACTGCTGGTGTGTTGAATTTTTTGACATAGGGTGCTGGCAGATTACGGGCCTCCCATAGCTGCTGCCAGGCCCCTAATCTGCCATGGGCCCCCCGTACCGCCTCCTCATGCTGCTGCCAGTTGCCAACAAGGTGGTCAACCCTACATATGTTAGGTCGCCTTTACGAACAGCAGCAAAAGGCCATCACATTTCCTGATGTTAAAAGCGGATAAAGGTACTCCCTGTGTAACTCTAGATGTCAGCCATTGGCAGCTCATGCGTGACACCTGCGCTTGCTCAGGCCCTTTGACTGGAGGCCACGCTAGATTTCGTGATCGGCAGGGACTATGGGATGAACGACGTCATTCCTCTGTTGCACGTCCTGGAACAAATGCTGTTTTAAGGCTGGTCATGCTGGTGTGCGGTAGACGTGCGCACAGATCTCAACGCCACATGCCCCCTGTGGGGGCAGGACAGGCCCAGAAGAGGAGGATAGAGGAGCTGACATTGGTGCTCAGGAATTATTGAGTGAAATGGGTGCCATTTTTTCCCACTCAGCGACTGGAGTGGAGGAGCAGGAGCATCTGGTATAGGAGGAGGAGGAGGAGGAGACAGAGGACCCAGACGCACCGTGGCAGTATGCTGTGGAGATGGAGGCAGGGAGTCCCTCGCATTCCTTGGCACAAATGGCCCATAGCATGCTGGTGCTTGCTTGCGTACCGACAGCCGAATAATAACCATCAGACAGAGGGATGACTTTTGGCTGTCCACCTTGTTGGACCCTCGCTACCGCCGTTCAAAAATGCTGCTGCCTTTTTCACACCTGCTGAGAGGGGAGGCCAAAATAACGTACTATAAAAACCACCTATGTAGTCAGCTGGTCTCTGCCTGTCTGCATGTGCCACTTTCAGGTCTCCTCACACACTGTGGGTTCCCTGTGCGCGCACGCGTTCCGCTGCCATGGCAGCAGGGGGGGGGTGGGGTGCCAGGCCCCTAGCAGTGGCAGCTCCACCAGCAGCAGCTGCCTCAGTCTGCAGTCGATGATGAGTAGCTTTCTTCACCAGCGCAGTGTGAGGAAACTACTAACCAGCCGCAGCAGCAGCAGCAGCATCAGGTGGACCTGGAGCAGGACCTCAAACAACAGGCTTAGGCCTACTTGGACAGCACCCTGCCAACCGAGGTAGACAATCCCCTGACTACTGGGCAACGAAACTTGACCTTTGGCCCCAACTAGCTGAATTTTGCCCTTGAAATGGCTGTCATGCCATCCCCATGCCCTCCCATAGCTGCATCGGAGCGCGTGTTTAGTGCGGCAGGAGGTATTGCAACTCCGCGGAGGACACGACTGTCCCACCCAAAGTGTGGAGAGACTCACGTTTGTGAAAATGAATCAGGCGTGGATCCCTGGATTTTACAAACGGCCAGTTCCCCAAGCTGCTGCCAGGCCCCTGAATCTGCCATGTGCCCACTCAGGTCTCCTCCCCTGCTGTGCCACTTTCTCTGGCCTACGGGCCTCCCTGCTGCTGTGCCCCTAATTGCCATTTTGTACACGGCCTCCTCATGCTGCTGCAGGCAGATCTCCATGGCCACTTTCAGGTCTCCCACACACTGCTGGTGTGTTCCATTTTTTTGACATAGGGTGCTGGCAGATTACGGGCCTCCCATAGCTGCTGCCAGGCCATCCCTAATCTGCCATGGGCCCCTATACCGCCTCCTCATGCTGCTGCCAGGTCCAGAGTCTCTCATGGGTCCCTGTACGGCCTCCCATTGCTGCTGTCTCCATCGCCACACTCTCTGCCATGTGCCACTTTCAGGTCTCCTCACACTGCTGGTGTGTTCCATTTTTTGACATAGGGTGCTGGCAGATTACGGGCCTCCCATAGCTGCTGCCAGGCCCCTAATCTGCCATGGGCCCCTATATACCGCCTCCTCATGCTGCTGCCAGGTCCAGAGTCTCTCATGGGTCCCTGTACGGCCTCCCATTGCTGCTGTCTCCATCGCCACACTCTGCCATGTGCCACTTTCAGGTCTCCTCACACACTGCTGGTGTGTTCAATTTTTTGACATAGGGTGCTGGCAGATTACGGGCCTCCCATAGCTGCTGCCAGGCCCCTAATCTGCCATGGGCCCCTATACCGCCTCCTCATGCTGCTGCTGCTGCCAGGTCCAGAGTCTCTCATGGGTCCCTGTACGGCCTCCCATTGCTGCTGTCTCCATCGCCACACTCTGCCATGTGCCACTTTCAGGTCTCCTCACACACTGCTGGTGTGTTGAATTTTTTGACATAGGGTGCTGGCAGATTTACGGGCCTCCCATAGCTGCTGCCAGGCCCCTAATCTGCCATGGGCCCCTATATACCGCCTCCTCATGCTGCTGCCATGCTCCAGAGTCCTGCCATGGGTCCCTGTACGGCCTCCCATTGCTGCTGTCTCCATCGCCACACTCTGCCATGTGCCACTTTCAGGTCTCTCACACACTGCTGGTGTGTTGAATTTTTTGACATAGGGTGCTGGCAGATTACGGGCCTCCCATAGCTGCTGCCAGGCCCCTAATCTGCCATGGGCCCCTATATACCGCCTCCTCATGCTGCTGCCAGGTCCAGAGTCTCTCATGGGTCCCTGTACGCCTCCCATTGCTGCTGTCTCCATCGCCACACTCTGCCATGTGCCACTTTCAGGTCTCCTCACACTGCTGGTGTGTTCCATTTTTTTGACATAGGGTGCTGGCAGATTACGGGCCTCCCATAGCTGCTGCCAGGCCCCTAATCTGCCATGGGCCCCTGTACCGCCTCCTCATGCTGCTGCCAGGTGCCAGGTCTCATGGGTCCCACGGCCTCCCATTGCTGCTGTCTCCATCGCCACACTCTGCCATGTGCCACTTTCAGGTCTCCTCACACACTGCTGGTGTGTTGAATTTTTTGACATAGGGTGCTGGCAGATTACGGGCCTCCCATAGCTGCTGCCAGGCCCCTAATCTGCCATGGGCCCCTATATACCGCCTCCTCATGCTGCTGCCAGGTCCAGAGTCTCATGGGTCCCTGTACGGCCTCCCATTGCTGCTGTCTCCATCGCCACACTCTGCCATGTGCCACTTTCAGGTCTCCTCACACTGCTGGTGTGTTGAATTTTTTGACATAGGGTGCTGGCAGATTACGGGCCTCCCATAGCTGCTGCCAGGCCCCTAATCTGCCATGGGCCCCTATATACCGCCTCCTCATGCCGCCTCCTCATGCTGCTGCTGCCTGCCAGGCCTCCCATTGCAGCTGTCTCCATCGCCACACTCTGCCATGTGCCACTTTCAGGTCTCCTCACACACTGCTGGTGTGTTCAATTTTTTGACATAGGGTGCTGGCAGATTACGGGCCTCCTATAGCTGCTGCCAGGCCCCTAATCTGCCATGGGCCCCTATACCGCCTCCTCATGCTGCTGCCAGGTCCAGAGTCTCTCATGGGTCCCTGTACGGCCTCCCATTGCTGCTGTCTCCATCGCCACACTCTGCCATGTGCCACTTTCAGGTCTCCTCACACACTGCTGGTGTGTTGAATTTTTTGACATAGGGTGCTGGCAGATTACGGGCCTCCCATTGCTGCTGCCAGGCCCCTAATCTGCCATGGGCCCCCGTACCGACTCCTCCTCATGCTGTGCCGTTGCAACAAGGTGGAATTCAACCCTACATATGTTAGACCGCCTTTACGAACAGAAAAAGGCCATCACAGATTTCCTGTGCCATTTCATGTTAAAAAGCGGATAGAAGGTACTCCCTGTGTAACTTAGATGTCCCATTGGCAGCTCATGCGTGACACCTGCGCTTGCTCAGGCCCTTGAGAGAGGCCACGCTATTCGTGAGTCGGCAGGGACTATGGGGATGAACGACGTCATTCCTCTTTTGCACGTCCTGGAACAAATGCTGTTAACAATGGCTGGTCAGGGTGCGGTAGACGTGGCGCACAGATCTCAACGCCACATGACCCCTGTGGGGGCAGGTCCAGAAGAAGAGGAGGAGGTAGAGGAGGACATTGGTGCTCAGGAATTATTGAGTGAAATGGGTGGTTTTTCCACTCAGCGGACAGGAGTGGAGGAGCAGGAGCATCTGGTAGAGGAGAGGTGAGGAGACAGAGGACCCAGACGCACCGTGGCAGTATGCTGTGGAGATGGAGGCAGGGAGTCCCTCGCATCCTCCTTGGCACAAATGGCCCATAGCATGCTCGCTTGCTTGCGTACCGACAGCCGAATAATAACCTTCAACCATCAGACAGAGGGATGACTTTTGGCTCCTCCACCTGTTGTTCCATTTTTTGACCCTCGCTACCGTTCAAAAATGGTGGCCTTTTTCACACCTGCTGAGAGGGAGGCCAAAATAACGTACTATAAAAACCACCTATGTAGTCATGCTGGTCTCTGCCTGTCCCATTGCGCCAACGTCCATCCTCAGACACTGTGGGTCCCTGTGCGCTCGCGTTCCGCTGCCATGCAGCAGGGGAGGGGTGGGGGGGTAGGAGCAGTGGCAGCTCCACCAGCAGCAGCTGCCTCAGTCTGCAGTCGATGATGAGTAGCTTTCTTCACCAGCGCAGTGAGGAAACTACTAACCAGCCGCTGCAGCAGCAGCAGCATCAGGTGGACCTGGAGCAGGACCTCAAACAACAGGCTTAGGCCTACTTGGACAGCACCCTGCCAACCGAGGTAGACAATCCCCTTGACTACTGGGCAACGCAGGGAACTTGACCTTTGGCCCCAACTAGCTGAATTTGCCCTTGAAAGGCTGTCATGCCCGGCCAGTAGCGTGGCATCGGAGCGCGTGTTTAGTGCGGCAGGAGGTATTGCAACTCCGCGGAGGACACGACTGTCCACCCAAAGTGTGGAGAGACTCACGTTTGTGAATCTGAATCCGTGGGCCCCTGGATTTCAAACCACCAGTTCCTGACTCATGCTGCTGAGGTCCAAATCCGTCTCTCATGGGTCCCTGTAACGCCTCCCATTGCTGCTGTCCCATCGCCCATGCCATGTGCCACTTTCAGGTCTCCTCACACACTGCTGGTGGTGTGTTCCATTTTTTGTCATAGGGTGCTGGCAGATTACGGGCCTCCATAGCTAGCTGCTGCCAGGCCCCTAATCTGCCATGGGCCCCTATACCGCCTCCTCATGCTGCTGCCAGGTCCAGAGTCTCTCATGGGTCCCTGTACGGCCTCCCATTGCTGCTGTCTCCATCGCCACACTCTGCCATGTGCCACTTTCAGGTCTCCTCACACACTGCTGGTGTGTTGAATTTTTTGACATAGGGTGCTGGCAGATTACGGGCCTCCCATAGCTGCTGCCAGGCCCCTAAATCTGCCATGGGCCCCCGTACCGCCTCCTCATCATGCTGTGACGTTGCAACAAGGTGGAATTCAACCCTACATATGTTAGACCGCCTTTACGAACAGCAAAAGGCCATCACAGATTTCCTGATGTTAAAAGCGGATAAAGGTACTCCCTGTGTAACTTAGATGTCAGCCATTGGCAGCTCATGCGTGACACCTGCGCTTGCTCAGGGCCCTTTGAGGAGGCCACGCTATTCGTGAGTCGGCAGGACTATGGGATGAACGACGTCATTCCTCTGTTGCACGTCCTGGAACAAATGCTGTTAACAATGGCTGGTCAGGGTGCGGTAGACGTGGCGCACAGATCTCAACTGCCACATGACCCCTGTGGGGGCAGGACAGGAAGGGGAAGAGAGGAGGACATAGGAGGAGCCAGGCATGCCTGTCAGGTGAGGAATTACAGATGTAGTGAAGGTAGGGTTTTGCCTCCACACTCATGCAGGCCCCACAATGCCATGTGGTTTTTTTTCCCCACTCAGCGGACAGGAGTGGAGTTGCATTTTTTTGAGCATCTGGTAGAGAGGGGAGGGAGAGGAGACCAGAGGACCCAGACTGCACCCGTGGCAGTATGCTGTGGAGATGGAGGCAGGGAGTCCCTCGCATTCCTTGGCACAAATGGCCCCATAGCATGCTCGTTGCTTGCGTAGCGACAGCCGAATAATACTGTACGGCCCATCAGACAGAGGGATGACTTTTGGCTGTCCACCTTGTTGGCCCCTCGCTACCTGGTGTGTTCAAAAATGGTGGCCTTTTTCACACCTGCTGAGAGGGAGGCCAAAATAACGTACTATAAAAACCACCTATGTAGTCAGCTGGTCTCTGCCTGTCTGCGCCACACGTCCATCCTCAGACACTGTGGGCCCTGTGCGCTCGCGTTCCGCTGCCATGGCAGCAGGGGAGGGGTGGGGTGGTAGGAGCAGTGGCAGCTCCACCACCAGCAGCAGCTGCCTCAGTCTGCAGTCGATGATGAGTAGCTTTCTTCACCAGCGCAGTGAGGAAACTACTAACCAGCCGCAGCAGCAGCAGCAGCATCAGGTGGACCTGGAGCAGGACCTCAAACAACAGGCTTAGGCCTACTTGGACAGCACCCTGCCAACCGAGGTAGACAATCCCCTTGACTACTGGGCAACGAAACTTGACCTTTGGCCCCAACTAGCTGAATTTGCCCTTGAAAGGCTGTCATGCCCGGCCAGTAGCGTGGCATCGGAGCGCGTGTTTAGTGCGGCAGGAGGTATTGCAACTCCGCGGAGGACACGACTGTCCACCCAAAGTGTGGAGAGACTCACGTTTGTGAAAATGAATCAGGCGTGGATTAGTCTGGATTTTTCAAACCACCAGTTCCTGACACAACTGACTAAATCCGCCATGAATCATGCCCCAAACATGTGCCACTTTCAGGTCTCCTCACACTGCTGGTGTGTTCCATTTTTTGTCATAGGGTGCTGGCAGATTACGGGCCTCCCATAGCTGCTGCCAGGCCCCTAATCTGCCATGGGCCCCTATACCGCCTCCTCATGCTGCTGCCAAGTCCAGAGTCTCTCATGGGTCCCTGTACGGCCTCCCATTGCTGCTGTCTCCATCGCCACACTCTGCCATGTGCCACTTTCAGGTCTCCTCACACTGCTGGTGTGTTCCATTTTTTGTCATAGGGTGCTGGCAGATTACGGGCCTCCCATAGCTGCTGCCAGGCCCCTAATCTGCCATGGGCCCCTATACCGCCTCCTCATGCTGCTGCCAGGTCCAGAGTCTCTCATGGGTCCCTGTACGGCCTCCCATTGCTGCTGTCTCCATCGCCACACTCTGCCAGTGCCACTTTCAGGTCTCCTCACACACTGCTGGTGTGTTCAATTTTTTTGACATAGGGTGCTGGCAGATTACGGGCCTCCCATAGCTGCTGCCAGGCCCCTAATCTGCCATGGGCCCCTATAACCCGCCTCCTCATGCTGCTGCCAGGTCCAGAGTCTCTCATGGGTCCCTGTACGGCCTCCCATTGCTGCTGTCTCCATCGCCACACTCTGCCATGTGCCACTTTCAGGTCTCCTCACACTGCTGGTGTGTTCCATTTTTTGTCATAGGGTGCTGGCAGATTACGGGGCCTCCCATAGCTGCTGCCAGGCCCCTAATCTGCCATGGGCCCCTGTACCCGCCTCCTCATGCTGCTGCCAGGTCCAGTCTCTCAGTCCCTGTCTCATGCCATGTGCCATGTGCCACTTTCAGGTCTCCTCACACTGCTGGTGTGTTGAATTTTTTGACATAGGGTGCTGGCAGATTACGGGCCTCCCATAGCTGCTGCCAGGCCCCTAATCTGCCATGGGCCCCTATACCGCCTCCTCATGCTGCTGCCAGGTCCAGAGTCTCTCATGGGTCCCTGTACGGCCTCCCATTGCTGCTGTCTCCATCGCCACACTCTGCCATGTGCCACTTTCAGGTCTCCTCACACTGCTGGTGTGTTCCATTTTTTGTCATAGGGTGCTGGCAGATTACGGGCCTCCCATAGCTGCTGCCAGGCCCCTAATCTGCCATGGGCCCCTATACCGCCTCCTCATGCTGCTGCCAGGTCCACAGTCTCTCATGCCATGTCCCTTTCAGGTCTCCTCACACTGCTGCTGTTCCATTTTTGCCATAGGGTGCCTGTGCCACTTTCAGTCTCCTTACTGCTGGGCCTCCATAGGGTGCTGGCAGATTACGGGCCTCCCATAGCTGCTGCCAGGCCCCTAATCTGCCATGGGCCCCTATACCGCCTCCTCATGCTGCTGCCAAGTCCAGAGTCTGTCATGGTCCCTGTACGGCCTCCCATTGCTGCTGTCTCCATCGCCACACTCTGCCATGTGCCACTTTCAGGTCTCCTCACACTGCTGGTGTGTTGAATTTTTTGACATAGGGTGCTGGCAGATTACGGGCCTCCCATAGCTGCTGCCAGGCCCCTAATCTGCCATGGGCCCCTAATATACCGCCTCCTCCTGCTGCCAGGTCCATGCTGCTGCCAGGTCCACAGTGTCATCATGCCATGTGCCACTTTCAGGTCTCCTCACACTGCTGGTGTGTTCAATTTTTTGACATAGGGTGCTGGCAGATTACGGGCCTCCTATAGCTGCTGCCAGGCCCCTAATCTGCCATGGGCCCCTATACCGCCTCCTCATGCTGCTGCCAGGTCCAGAGTCTCTCATGGGTCCCTGTACGGCCTCCCATTGCTGCTGTCTCCATCGCCACACTCTGCCATGTGCCACTTTCAGGTCTCCTCACACACTGCTGGTGTGTTGAATTTTTTGACATAGGGTGCTGGCAGATTACGGGCCTCCCATTGCTGCTGCCAGGCCCCTAATCTGCCATGGGCCCCCGTACCGACTCCCATATGCTGTGACGTTGCAACAAGGTGGAATTCAACCCTACATATGTTAGACCGCCTTTACGAACAGCAAAAGGCCATCACAGATTTCCTGATGTTAAAAGCGGATAAAGGTACTCCCTGTGTAACTTAGATGTCAGCCATTGGCAGCTCATGCGTGACACCTGCGCTTGCTCAGGCCCTTTGAGGAGGCCACGCTATTCGTGAGTCGGCAGGACTATGGGATGAACGACGTCATTCCTCTGTTGCACGTCCTGGAACAAATGCTGTTAACAATGGCTGGTCAGGGTGCGGTAGACGTGGCGCACAGATCTCAACGCCACATGACCCCTGTGGGGGCAGGACAGGAAGAAGAGGAGGAGGTAGAGGAGGAGGACATTGGTGCTCAGGAATTATTGAGTGAAATGGGTGGTTTTTCCACTCAGCGGACAGGAGTGGAGGAGCAGGAGCATCTGGTAGAGGAGGAGAGGAGAGGAGACAGAGGACCCAGACGCACCGTGGCAGTATGCTGTGGAGATGGAGGCAGGGAGTCCCTCGCATTCCTTGGCACAAATGGCCCATAGCATGCTCGGTTGCTTGCGTACCGACAGCCGAATAATAACCATCAGACAGAGGGATGACTTTTGGCTGTCCACCTTGTTGGACCCTCGCTACCGTTCAAAAATGGTGGCCTTTTTCACACCTGCTGAGAGGGAGGCCAAAATAACGTACTATAAAAACCACCTATGTAGTCAGCTGGTCTCTGCCTGTCTGCGCCAACGTCCATCCTCAGACACTGTGGCCCTGTGCGCTCGCGTTCCGCTGCCATGGCAGCAGGGGAGGGGTGGGGTGGTAGGAGCAGTGGCAGCTCCACCAGCAGCAGCTGCCTCAGTCTGCAGTCGATGATGAGTAGCTTTCTTCACCAGCGCAGTGAGGAAACTACTAACCAGCCGCAGCAGCAGCAGCAGCATCAGGTGGACCTGGAGCAGGACCTCAAACAACAGGCTTAGGCCTACTTGGACAGCACCCTGCCAACCGAGGTAGACAATCCCCTTGACTACTGGGCAACGAAACTTGACCTTTGGCCCCAACTAGCTGAATTTGCCCTTGAAAGGCTGTCATGCCCGGCCAGTAGCGTGGCATCGGAGCGCGTGTTTAGTGCGGCAGGAGGTATTGCAACTCCCGCGGAGGACACGACTGTCCACCCAAAGTGTGGAGAGACTCACGTTTGTGAAAATGAATCAGGCGTGGATTTAGTCTGGATTTCAAACCACCAGTTCCTGACACAACTGACTAAATCCGCCATGAATCATGCCCCAAACATGTGCCACTTTCAGGTCTCCTCACACTGCTGGTGTGTTCCATTTTTTGTCATAGGGTGCTGGCAGATTACGGGCCTCCCATAGCTGCTGCCAGGCCCCTAATCTGCCATGGGCCCCTATACCGCCTCCTCATGCTGCTGCCAAGTCCAGAGTCTCTCATGGGTCCCTGTACGGCCTCCCATTGCTGCTGTCTCCATCGCCACACTCTGCCATGTGCCACTTTCAGGTCTCCTCACACTGCTGGTGGGTTCCATTTTTTGTCATAGGGTGCTGGCAGATTACGGGCCTCCCATAGCTGCTGCCAGGCCCCTAATCTGCCATGGGCCCCTAGACCGCCTCCTCATGCTGCTGCCAGGTCCAGAGTCTCTCATGGGTCCCTGTACGGCCTCCCATTGCTGCTGTCTCCATCGCCACACTCTGCCATGTGCCACTTTCAGGTCTCCTCACACTGCTGGTGGGTTCCATTTTTTGTCATAGGGTGCTGGCAGATTACGGGCCTCCCATAGCTGCTGCCAGGCCCCTAATCTGCCATGGGCCCCCGTACCGACTCCTCATCCTCATGCTGCTGCCAGGCCCGTAATCTGTCATGGGCCCCTGTTGTCGCTTGTTGGCATATTCCGCTCTTTTCGTTCAGATGCTCCTTCTCCTGCTACTCCTCTTCACGGATTCCGTCAGCAGTCTTTCTTGGAATCCGTTTCCAAGAGACAACAGTTTGCGAGCACGCACCCGACGGTGCAGAAGCTGAACGTCCTCCTGTCCAAGTTGCTGCTGCCAGGCTCGTAATCTGTCATGCGCCCCTGTACCGCCTCCTCATGCTGCTGCCAGGTCCAGAGTGTGTCATGGGCCCCCGTACCGACTCCTCATGCTGCTGCCAGGCCCGTAATCTGTCATGGGCCCCTGTACCCGCCTCCCCATGCTGCTGCCAGATCCAGAGTGTGTCATGGGTCCCTGTACGGCCTCCCATTGCTGCTGCCAGGCCCGTAATCTGCCATGGGCCCCCGTACCGACTCCTCATGCTGCTGCCAGGCCCGTAATCTGTCATGGGCCCCTGTACCGCCTCCTCATGCTGCTGCCAGGTCCAGAGTGTGTCATGGGTCCCTGTACGGCCTCCTATTGCTGCTGTCTCCATCGCCACACTCTGCCATGTGCCACTTTCAGGTCTCCTCACACTGCTGGTGGTTTCCATTTTTGTCATAGGGTGCTGTATGGCCTCCCATTGCTGCTGCCTCCACCGCCACACTGTGGCTCCACACTCTGGTTTTGGCCCCGTGACTGCCCAAATGAGTGAAGTGTGCGGTGATTCTAAGATCGACGGCACTCATCTGCATGTCATACTGACTGTCAGTATTATTTCTCTTCCCGAGCAGACTCCAAGGGCATTTAAATTAAAGGTACAGTGTTCTGCACTAATATAAAGTCTCTCTGAAGCCTAGAAACACCCTTTTATAAGTTAAATTCGCAGCGAATATATTCGACTCGAATCGAAATTTTTCCACGAATTCGCCGAATCAGTCGAATCGAATTTTTGAATACTTCACTCATCTCTAATTATTATTTTTGATATTTTTCTTTTTATATTCACATTGTGGGAGATATTTGTTAAAGTGGCATATTAATTATTATAGATACAGTTACACCTTCAAGGGTGAAGGTGAGATATATGCTATAGGGAGTATTTATATTTTTATATATATTTTTGTATATTGATTGTTGGGGTGGCACTTTAATTATTCTACATAAAGATGGCCTAGGATATAAGAAGATTGCCAAGACCCTGAAACTGAGCTGCAGCACGGTGGCCAAGACCATACAGCGGTTTAATAGGACAGGTTCCACTCAGAACAGGCCTCGCCATGGTCGACCAAAGAAGTTGAGTGCACATGCTCAGCATCATATCCAGAGGATGTCTTTGGAAAATAGATGTATGAGTGCTGCCAGCATTGCTGCAGAGGTTGAATGGGTGGGGGGTCAGCCTGTCAGTGCTCAGACCATACGCCGCACACTGCATCAAATTGGTCAGCATGGCTGTCGTCCCAGAAGGAAGTTCCTTCTAAAGATGATGCACAAGAAAGCCCGCAAACAGTTTGCTGAAGACAAGCAGACTAAGGACATGGATTACTGGAACCATGTCCTGTGGTCTGAGGAGACCAAGATAAACTTATTTGGTTCAGATGGTGTCAAGTGTGTGTGATGGCAACCAGGTGAGGAGCACAAAGACAAGTGTGTCTTGCCTGCAGTCAAGCATAGTGGTGGGAATGTCATGGTCTGGGGCTGCATGAGTGCTGCCGGCACTGGGGAGCTGCAGTTCATTGAGGTAACCATGAATGCCAACATGTCCTGTGACATACTGAAGCAGAGCATGATCCCCTCCCTTCGGAGACTGGGCCGCAGGGCAGTATTCCAACATGATAACAACCCCAAATACACCTCCAAGACGACCACTGCCTTGCTAAAGAAGCTGAGGGTAAAGGTGATGGACTGACCAAGCATGTCTCCAGATCAGAACCCTATTGAGCATTTGTGGGGCATCCTCAAATGGAAGGTGGAGGAGCGCAAGGTCTCTAACGTCCACCAGCTCCGTGGTGTCATCATTGAGGAGTGGAAGAGGACTACAGTGGCAACCTGTGAAGCTCTGGTAAACTCTATGCCCAAGGGGGTTAAGGCAGTGCTGGAAAATAATGGTGGCCACACAAAATATTGACACTTTGGGCCCAATTTGGACATTTTCAATTAGGGGTGTGCTAACTTTTGTTGCCAGCGGTTTAGACATTAATGGCTGTGTGTTGTTATTTTGAGGGGACAGCAAATTTACACTGTTATACAAGCTATACACTCACTACTTTACATTGTAGCAAAGTGTCATTTTTTCAGTGTTGTCACATGAAAAGATATAATAAAATATTTACAAAAATGTGAGGGGTGTACTCACTTCTGGGAGATACTATACATGTACATTGTTTGATTCTCTTTCTAATACATCCTAGTAGCAGTGATTAGGCACTTTTGACTAACTTGACTTTCATAATCATACAAGTTCACTTCATATAATCTTGTTTTGCTTACTACAACAAATTGATATACTAAGCTTTAATACTGTAATTTTACAAATACTAATTCAATTCAGGGCCTTAAAAAATATACATTGATATCTCCTAGATTGTAAGCTCGAAAGAGCAGGGCCCTCGATCCCCTCATGTTTTGCATTGTATTGGTATTGTTCTGTCACATGTTCTGTCACATGTTCTGTCCCCTTTGTAATGTACAGCGCTGAGCGAACTATTGGCGCTTTATAAATACTGTAATAATATAATAATAATAATATGATCAATTATAAATATAATATACATTAATAATAATATTAATGATGGTGATTGCAAGTTATTGATGTTGTAAATATTTAACTATAAACAATAAGTTGTCATACTAAAGTTTAGCAACAACCCAACATTGTGTGTGTGTGTTGTTATATACACTAATTATAATTGCAATTTCTTGCTGCTATAAACTTTTGCTGTAAAAAATGTAATGATATACTAAGATGTAAAACTAATTTGATTCAGGGCCATATACAATGTATGTAATATAAATATGATACAATTCTAATTATAATATATACTGGTATATTATTATTATTTTTAAAGTTATAAATAAAACTTATGAATAAATACTTAGCATATCCATAATGTGATTATAAAGGTTCTTTTAATTTTTTTTAAACCACTTGTCTACCGGGTGCTTTCACCCCCTTCCTGCCCAGGCCAATTTTCAGCTTTCAGTGCTGTCGCACTTTGAATGGCAATTGCGTGGTCATGCAACACTGTACCCATATTACATTTTTATAATTTTTTTGAGACAGATAGAGCTTTCTTTTGGTGGTATTTAATCACCTCTGGGTTCTTTATTTTTTGATAAACAAACCAAAAACAACTGTAAATTTTGATAATGTGCGCTAATGAGGCTGCAGTGATGGGCACTGATAGGCTGCACTGATGGGCACTGATAGGCAGCACTGATGAGGCACTGGTAGGTGGCACTGATGGGCATTGACAGGCATCACTGGTGGGCATTGACAGACATCACTGATGGGCACTGAGAAGCAGTACTCATATATGGCACTGATAGGGAGCACTGACTGGCACTGTTAGGCGGCACTGTCTGGCACTGTTAGGTGGCACTGACTGGAACTGTTAGGCGGCACTGACTGGCACTGTTAGGCGGCACTGACTGGCACTGATAGGTGGCACTGACTGGCACTGATAGGTGGCACTGATAGGTGACACTGATTGGCAGTACTCATAGGTGGCACTGACTAGCACTTTGTTTGTAGGTCTGATGGGACATAAACGTGGTAATTTTCTTTGGCATTTTAAGAGAATGATTGCATGGTCCACATTTACAACATCTATGGAAACCCCCATCCTGGAAAAAAGAACGTTTTTTTTTTTTTGTGGGGGGGGTGGGAATATTATGTACCAGTTTCTCTTCTGTAAATGAACGATGGTTTAGTAGAAGTGCCCAGCAGGCAAGTGGTTAATTAGCACCTTAATCGGCCACAGTGTAATTAATATGCGTTCGGTTTTAAAGGGATCAGGTGGCAACCCTACCACTAACAGTTTCCCGTGGAAATATTTAGTAGCAAGGAAATTTCACGGATGGACTTATTACACAGGTGACAACCTATCACGGCACCACGCTTGACTTCACTGAGCTCCTGAGAGCGATCCATTATCTCACAAATGTTTGTAGAAGCAGTCTGCATGCCTAGGTGCTTGATATTATACACCTGTGGCCATGGAGGTGATTGGAACACCTGAATCAATGATATGTGGGGTGTCCCAATACTATTGACAATATAGTGTATATCTGAATGAGAGAACACGGTGAATGAACACACGATTCAATTATCTGGCAGAGCATATTATCCTCTTTCACTTCCTGTATGTGGGAACTAAGGTTTTCATTTCGTCTGCTCGATTGCTTCAGGCTTGGTCGCTCTATCGGCGATCATTGGGAGGAGCCTGGCTTTCTGTATCGAGCTTCGTCCTACCCGGCGTGCTTTGCGGGACAGCCATGGCCGGAGTACTAAAGATGGTGAGAGCTCGGAGGTCACCCGTGCGATGTGTGAATGTGGGCTCCGCGGCTCGGGACTGCCGTGTGTTGAGGTGACGGTGTCGGGCCATGTCTATGGATGTGAACCTAGAGTGTAGTATGTCTGGGGACTCAGTGACACCTTGTATTCCCCGCTGTACATGTCTTCCCTGACTATGGCAGGAAATCCAGGAAGGGGGTCTTGGGGAACTGTACACGGTGTGTATCTCAATGCTGGAAATTAAAGTTTGAAATCTTTGCAATGAAAATGTGCCCCAGGAGGTGTCCTCCATGTTGTACTAGTGTGCCCCCCCACACCAGCACATTATGGAGGACTTACCTGCCAGTAGCCCCCCTAGGACTGATCTCTTGGCTCTCCTGTCAGTCACAGGTCCTTCCTTCTCCCATTCTCCCTGCTGGACTACAACTAATCGCCAGGCTGCGATGACATCACTGCCATGTATGTGCACGGGAGCCATGTCATCCTGGCACTGTAAATATACACCGAGCTGCGCATGCGTGGCTCAGTGGACACACAAACGCAAACAGGCAGAGAGAAGCAATTATGACAGAAAAGACCATAATTGGTTTTACCAACTTCCAGACCAGTGAACGTACATATATGTCACCAGTTGGGATACTTTCACTCTGATCCGTGGCAAAAACACATATGCACATTTGCAGAGCATTTTTTTTAAAAGGACGTGTGACTCCAAAAACGCAATGTGGGTGTGTTTTTGATGCGTTTTCCATTGATTTAAATGGGGAGGTACCTATTTTGGTGCATTTTTTTTTTTACCACACCAAAAATGCAGCAAGCAGGATTTGAAAAACTGCAGTGGATCAGTGTAAAGAGTTCAATTGAAATTGCACGTCTTTTTCTGTTTTTTTTTTTTTTTTTTTTAACACAAAAGCAGAAAAAACGGATCAGTGAGAATACAGCCTAGTGCAGGCCATAGATGGGGTGAAAACCGGCCGATTTTTCTTTAAAAAAATGAAAAATCGGTCGTTCAAGCTGCCGACGTTACCAGGAATGGAAAAAAAAAATCGGCCGATTTTCATCCCGTCTACAGCCGGCAAAATGTGTCCCTGCAGAGAGCTCCGCTATTTCTTTGACAGTTCCTTGACATTTATAGCGGTTGCAACAATGTATCTATTTGTATCCATTTAGGATACAGATGTTTTTATTCGGAAACAAATAGATACATTGTTGCAACCGCTATAAATGTCAAGGAACTGTCAAAGAAATAGCGGAGCTCTCTGCAGGGACACTTTTGCCGGACTGGAATTCCTCTTCCTCTTCTTCCTCTTCTTCCTCTTCTTCCTC